ACATACGCCCAGAAGATATTTCATTTCGCCGCGATGAGGATTCGAACCTCAAACCATCCGACCGATCGCTCTCGGATCAACTGAGATGAAAATGTAAATTGGCCACAGTTAAGATTTTCTAAAGCTAACGTTTCGCGCGTTAGCTCTTCGTCAGAGAGAGTGTAAAGAATGTCTTTAAGCTGACACCGTTTCAATGAAAGGCCGCATCTCAAGATAAGCCACGCCATTTCCCTATAATTTCCATCCATCAGTGATATAAGTAGTGTAAAACTTTCATTTATTACTTAATGTTTTCATAGCTGATACGTTTTCGGAGTTTACATTCACTTGATTTTCGGAAAGTTAATAAACCTTCCGGCTACACTCACAAGTAAGTTAATTCAGTGTTTCTCCATAATTTAGGTGTTATGGTTTAACAGCCATTCGGTTCAGGCTCCTCTAATTTGCAGAGTGTACTTGCTGAAAAATGCAGTTGGGAAAGACCTGAGAAAGGAGCAAAACTAGATGCATCAAAAAGTACCATAAAACGGTCATTAAGAAGCCAAATTTTCAGTGATAGATGGCAAGCATTTGTCACGAACACGAGACTAGGAAATATCTCAATCGGCAGCGTGATAAAGATGCGAACCTTACACTTTTCGACCGATTTTGTTGTCTAATAACCGACCAACTAAGCTACAGACAATTTGGTTTTATCAACTGATGTAAATTTGTCACCGTGAAGAGTATCTAAAGCTGACGTTTCGAGCGTGACAGACAACTTACCTACTGGCAGCTAATTATAAGTCATAGGCTATAAATGTGACACGAATCCTACATACTGCTACAGCCATGATCTGTTTTGTCGAAAGTGTTTCATGAGAGAAAATGAGATTGATCGTACATTTTGCATCCTGGTGTATCGCGAGAGACTTGATTACATAGCGAATGTGAGGTGATGTGGTGTAATCGCCTTCAGGCTTTCCAAGAGGACCAATCCAATTTCTTGATAGGAACGAAGCTCTTACAACCGTTCAACTGTCGAGAAAAAGGTAAAAACGACCAGAA